CAAGAAAGAGGGCATTCACTATGAAACAAGAGGAGGAGGGTAAAGTGAATGGCCAAACAAAAGCTTTGCACCTGAGCCTTGGAAAGGTAAGCAAAGGTGAGTTCAAAATCTACCAGCCTTAGAAATGTCTCCATGTCTCCAAACCAAGGAGGGACATCTCAAAAGGAAGCACAGAAAAAGGGGTTAATGAAGCCAGGTTCTAATATTTGCCTGACTAGGTTCTCCTCTCTTTGTGATACTCAAAGTATCATAGACATCTCTAGGGAGATGTTAAAGCTATTAAGAAAACATTAGAACAACATCTTGGCTTCATGGAAGCTTCCTCCTTAATGAGTCCCAACTAAATATACGAATAAGCAGTACCCAATGTATGAAGTATGCATATCACTTCACATCTCTGGAGCCACAATCACACTTAGGGCAGGAATGAATAGCTACTTCTTCATTAGGTTTTTCACAGCTGATACACATGCCAAAAGATGAAGAAAAATGTTTTTTTAAAAAATGTATCAATTGCTTTAATTTTTCTTCTTATGGTCTTGCTTTATTGATGACACTCATATAACCTGATTTTCCATTGGAACACAGGCTGAAATCCACTGATCTGAGTTCTCACCTTACACATGAAACAATTCCTCACTTAACCTCCACCTTCTCCTATTAAGATTCCACACCCTTGCCTATTCCAGACTTCCCCATCACTCTCGGTCATTGTAAGCATGAAACATTCTTGATGAGAATGGGCGGGCAACTAGCAATTTAATATGCTATGAAATGCTCTGAAAAGCACATATATCTATGCATATTTATCTCATGTTTTTCATTTTAAATAATTCAACTGAAGATTAAGAAATAACAATCAATTTACATGAAACAGCTAGTAAAAAAACCAGTCAAGAGTTCCCAAGATACACAACCAGGAGTCAGAAAAATTTTATGTAGGATTTTAGGTAAATATTGGACCTGAAAAAGAGTTTTTGGTCCGTACTTACAGTTTAAATACCTCTTTCTCAACACTAGCACTCACCATGCCTATGCCACTCCATTGACTTTAACCAATCAAAGTTAGTTAGGTTAATCTCCTACATCGTATTAAAAGGAGTTTGTAATATGACAATGTGCCCTAATGTTAAACACCTTATTGTTTGTGCAGGAAAGGGTGATGGTTATAGGCTTAACAGTATTTGAATTTAATTAGTAAAAGTTCAAAGTACTAGAAAAACTACTCAAATTTAAAATGATATATGAAAAGAAGATTACTGTAAAATGAATGTAAACGACTTATCCCTCCTTAAAAAGAGACCTTTACTGAGATATCGAAACAGTGTTGTTTAAAATACAGTATATGAAATCTGAAGACCAGTGAAGGTTCTTACCAAGTTAAGAAAATCTGGCATTCATGTGACTTCAATAGTACATGAGTAGTTGAGGCTTAGAAAGGAAGTGTATTCCAGAGCATGCATGGCCCTTTTGCTCAAATCAGAAGAAATGAAACAGAAAAGGTGACCAATTTTTTTAAAACAATGAAGAAGGAGAGTGGCTTTCCCCCAACCAATTCCCGATGATTAACACTGTATTTTCCATTAAGTGGAAATAGATAAAGCTCTGAAGACCTAAGGATCCATTAGATCACCAAAAAAAGCAGGTTTCGGTCAAAACCAAAGATTGTCTCCCTGTATTTGACATTATACCTAGAAATCTCTGACATCCTGGAATTTTTAATGAATACTCCCAAATCTTAACATTTAAATGTCATAACTTACATTAACATGGAAATATATATTTTAAGGAGGCAAAAGAGCACTGTGGCTAAAAGTTCAGACCCACTTACTCACCTATGAATTCCAATTCTTACCATAAACAGAAACAATATACATCAGCTCCTATTACCATACCATATAGGAATTCCCATAAGTATTTTTTAATAATCTAAAAGAAAGCAAAGTGTTTTCTCTCCTTAAACATGACCTTTTCCAAACAGTCTAAGCCATTTAACTTGGGAGCAGGAAAATACATTAGCCTAAATTAATCTTTGCCAGCTTCCACTACACTATTTATAATCCAAAACCACCTTTTAAAAACGTATAGGTCACTGCTTATATTAAAGTGACAAAATATGAAATTAAACGTTTCTTATCAATAGTGATCCTCTATTGTATTGTCAGAGATGGAATTCCAAATCACGGCTCAAGCTTTTAGTAAAATTGACAATTACAATGCAAATACTCAGGCTCTGGTTTCTCAAGAATAGGGGTGGGAAGCAATCTTCCTCTCCCTCTTTCTTTGTAATTTTGTGCATTCTGCAAAGAGAGAAGAAAATAAGTGTGGAAAATTTCTCTAATTTTCTCTTGCAAAAAAGAACAATTGTCTCTTTAGTACTATTCTTATGCTCACCAGATGCAATTTGCTTTGAGAACAAATGTATAAAAATCAAGGTTAAAAAAAAGGCTACCCACATACTGTATCTAATTATTCAACAAAGTATCCTCTTAAAAGTAATTACCAACTAAGAAGGGTATGCTTTTTTCATGAAATGGAAGAAAATGGAATTTTAGAAAACAAAGCATTTTTCTATCAGCTTATATTAAATTTCAGGGTAGCAATTTTTGTTCTTAATTTTCAGTTAACAGTGTCTTCTACTACTTTTTTTTTTTAGAAATCTGTCAATTAATAAAGGTTAATAGTCTACAAGCATACATAAGTGTATTTTTAGAACTTTTTAAAGAATCATTTCATAAATAAAAAATTTTCATTTGCTTTTAACTTGTGACTTTCTTGTTATTTCTACTTTTTTAATTGAATGTATAAGAAACATTTAAAGAGAATTTCAACAAATTAATTTTCTAAAATGATTGTAACAAAATATAAGACGTAATAAGAGTCCATGAGTATCTATAATAAAAAGTTCTTCCTTACAGTAGGATTCTATAAATGTAGAAGAATGATAGAATTTTTTTTAAATCACCATTTGGCACTACTTATAATAATAACTGTTTCAGACAAGAATCAACAACAAATGCTAAAATTAGTGAGTGAAAGTATAATAAAAACAGAGTATTTTCAAGTCTCAAAGAGTCTCTCTATAAGATAAATAATTAAAAAGGAATAACAGAAACTTTACAGTGGAGAAATGATACCATAATCAAGTAAGTGCTCAGTTTTCACCAGTAACACAAAATTGATAGTGCATAATTCCTGATGTGCTATTATGGGAGGGACGTAAGTCCAATTATCTAGGTTTCTGGCTGAAAGTCCATAAACTAAATCTAGACAAGAAGAAACAACAGCAAACCCCAAATGAAGCTGCTCTGTGAAACAAATCGCTCATACCTGATAGTCACCATTCATGACTGAAAAACTGTTCCAGATTAAAGGAGACTAAAGACACACGACAGCTAAATGCTATGTGTGAACATATATTTTATCCTGGACCAGAAAAGGACACTATTATAGTAGAAATTTGAATAAAGCCTATAGATTAAATAATAGTATTGTATTGATATTAATTTCCTGATTTTGATCATTGTACTATGCCTATGAAAGAAAACTTACATACCAAATTACTTAGATATAAAAGTATTTATATCATGGGTGCAACTTACTCAAAAGTTTTTTGGAAAACAATTACATGTATGTGGATATACACAGAAAATATGGGTAAGCAAGTCTGATAAAATATGAATAATGAGAGAATCTAGATAAAAGTTATACAGAAATTCTTTGTTCTAATTTTCCACTTTATCATTAATCTGAAATTTTCAAAGTAAAAACAGTACCTAAAGGGTAACAATTCTCTGTTTGGAACTGGTTTGATGATAATCGAATTCAGGAGTTGTCAAACTTTTGCTGTAAAGGACCAGACTGTCAATACTTTAGACCTTGTGGGATATGCAGTCTCTTTCACAACAACTCATCTCTGTCATTGTGCCACAGAAGCATCCACATGAATAGGAGTGGCTGTTTTCAAATAAAACTTCTTCCTTTCTTTATTCATTCATTCATTTATTTTGAGTCGAAGTGTCACTCTGTCACCACAGCTGAAGTTCGGTGGCACAATCACAGCTACTACAGCCTTGACATGCTAGGCTCAGGTGATCCTTCCACTATAGCTTCTTGAGTAACTGGGAATATAGGCATGCCTCACCACACCCAGCTAATTTTTTTTTTTAATTGTAGAGAGTAGGTCTCATCATATTGTCCAGGCTGGTCTCAGTTTTGAACTTCTGGTTTGAGGCATCCTCTTGCTTTGATCTCCCAAGGTGTTAGCTAAGATTACAGGCATGAGGCACCCTGCACAGCCCAAATAAAACTTTATTTAAAAAGATAGACAGTGGGCCATATTCAACCTGTGCACCATAGCTTGATGTCTCCTGGTTTAGTTCATGCCCAGAAAAAGTTAATTAGAATAATTATACTTTCAGTTAACATTTTTTTGAACACACACCAAACACTATGTTAAGTATTTTCCTGGCCTTCACTAATTTATCCTTGCACTAATCTGACAAGGTGAAGGTTTTTTTTTTAATTAACTACTCAGTCTACAGAAGTAGTTATTTTCCTTTTTCTTTTCTTTCTAAGTTATTTGTATCGTTTTTTTTTTTTTTTTTTTTTTGGTGGAGACAAGTCTCACTATGTTGCCCCAGGCTGGTCTGGAATTCCTGGTCTCAAGCAATCTTTTCACCTTGACTTCCCAAAATGCTAAGATTAAATCCATGAGCCACTGCATCCAGTCATGGTAGATACTATGATTAGTTCCATTTTCCACAAAGAAAACTAGTGTGTAGAGAAGTTAAGAAACTTGCTCAAGGTCATACAGACAGCAAGTTTGAAACGTGGTAAGTCTGATTCTATGCATTGAACTGTAACCAACATGCTATACTTCTCATATGGGTTGAATTATACTGTCACATGCAAAAACTAAGGAATTATAACAATTTTAACATGGATAAGTAAGTATTCAAAGTCAAGATTTACATCCCAAGAAAGTGTTTTTTACAAACCTCCTGTAGCTGCAAGGACATAAGACCAAGCTGATCCTGACGCTTTTCTACCAGCTCTCTCTCTGTGCGCATCTCTCTTTCTATCTCCTGAAGACGCCGCTCCACCCGATCTGAAACCTGAATATGAATCCAGAGAAACAGTACCATTAGACAGCTAGCAAGCAAAAAGAGACTAAATTGAGGGGACAGTTTACTCCAGATACACTACTGCTTAAAGCATTTAAGATTGGCTTGCTTATAGAACACTCTCTAATGACACTGTTATAAAACAGTTGACCAAAAAGTTAACTGAAAGTTACAAAAGAAAGTAATCATTAGTCTCCAAATAATCTATGCATGGATCCCAATAACAGCCTTGAATTGTTTGAAATATGACACAATAATTGAATAGATCAGTTAAAAGTAACATACTAGAAAGGAGTGCCCTCTAGTGAGTTCGCAGGGAAACACCAATTTTGCCAAAAATAGCATTTATTACCCAATGAACGATAAGCTGTCCTATCTAATTAATTTTCTTTTATTTGTATTATCCATGAGCATGACCTCCCTAAGAAGGTATTAATGTTTATGTGAAGTAAATATCTAAATGGGTTTTACAATAGCTTGTCAATCTTTTCTACTGTGATCTGCTAAAAATAAGCTGTAAAAGATCAAAAACTAAAGTCAAACTGAAAAATGTTCAATTGGGACTCCAAAATAAACATAAAATAATTTTTCTCTCTGACATAAAATTTTCCTTACTAAAAGTGGTACAAATTCCAATATTTCTTATGTATATCATTATACAACCTACTAAATAAAATGTACATTATGTGACAGACAATGTGTTTGGTGCAAGAAAATACAGTAAATAGAAGACACTTTTGAAAAACAGTATGGTGATTTCCGAAAGAACTAGAAATTGACCTTCTATATGACCCAGTAATTCCCCTATTGGGAATATATCCAGAGGAACTCAAATCATTCTACAAAAAAGATACCTGCACACGCATGTTTACTGCAGCACTATCACAATAGTAAAAACATAAAACTAACCATGCTGCCCATTGAAACTGGACTGGATTTTTTTTAAAGTGGCACATAAACACAATGGAATATTATGCAGCCATAAAGAAGGACAAACATGGACTTTGCAGCAACTTGGAGGGATTCAGAGTCTATCATACTCAGTGACCTATCACAGAAACAAAGAACAGAGTACCGTATGTTCTCACTCATAAGCAGACCTTGAACAATTATAATACTATAAGAAAGGGATAGGTAGTAGTGGGAAACTACCGGGGGGGGCACACCTCATCAACAAGGGTATCTACATAATGAACATCTGCATACCTAACCTTAAATTGTACCCCACATCCTTAAAATAAAAAATAAATTTAAAAAAAGATACTTTATATTCATATAAGACAAGCAATAAATACAGCCCTATTAAAAGAAATCTTATAACTGTGCACAGTGGCAGTATCATAGCCAATGAGTTTTCTCTGAGGCATGATTATTGCTAATTAAAAACTTTTCCTGCCGGGCTCGGTGGCTCAGCCTGTAATCCCACGCCTTTGGGAGGCTGAGGTGAGTGGATTGTCTGAGCCCGCGGGTTCAAGACCCGCCTGGGCAGGCGGGACCTCATCTCTACAATAAATCAAAAATCAGCTGGGTGTGGTAGCGCATGCCTGTAATTCTGGCTACTTGGAAGGCTGAGGCGGAAGGATCGCCGGAGCCCAGCAGGTCAAGGCTGCGGTGGCGGGAAGCGGCCACTGCACTCCAGTCTGGGCGACAGAGTGAGACTCCAACTCAAAAAAAAAAAACTTTTCCCAATACCCCGCCATGACAACTTGAAATATAGCTGGCATTGGCAATTTTTGACAGTCTACAGAGACCAAATTCTGTTGGTTAAAAAAAAAAGAGAGAAATCTTATGTCTCCAGTTCGGTGTTTGACAAAGAGTCAAAAAAGGTCCTGACAAAGGACCTTATTGGGGTGATTAAAATGTTCTAAACTGAATTATGGAGATGGTTGGCCAACTCAGTACATTTACTAACACAACCACTGATTGTACACTTGAAGCACATTAGTTTTTTAGCAAATTATAGCTCAATCAAGTTATTTAAAAAGACATAAACAATAAGCTTCATTAGTCGACAAAGGTTGAGCAAAATCAGAGTTGATCCTTGAACGACATGGGTTTTAACGGCAAGGATCCACTTACAAGGGGGTTTTCTACTGCCTCTGCCATCCCTGAGACAGCAAGACCAACTCCTCCTCTTCCTACTCCTCCTCAGCATACTCAGCATGAAGACAACGAAGACCTCTACGATGATCCACTTCCACTTAACGAATGGGAAATATATTTTCTCTTCCTTAAAATTTTCTTAATATCATTTTCTGTCCTCTAGCTTATTTTATTGTAAAAATACATAATATAATACATACAACACACATATAATATGTGTTAATCAACAGTGTATGTTATTGGCAAGGCTTCTGATCAATAGTATGCTATCTGCAGTTACATTTTTGGTAAGTCAAAAGTTATACTGTATCCACAGACCCTGCTTTCAAATAGCTTGCTATCTAATGAACAGACTGACATTAAAAGTGCAGTAAGAATTTCTCTGACTAGATTCAATGAATTGGAAATTTCAGGAAAGAAGGTTGTGCTTATTGAAATCATATCAAAATTAAAGCAGTTCAAGTAACTACATACTGAAATCAAAATCCAAAATTATTTAGACATCAGCAACTTCACCATCATAGTTAATACATGTGATGACACAGAGTTACAGTATTTGGAGGATTTTGCCTCAGTTTTTTTTCTAAGTAACAGTTTTATTAAAACATAATTTTGTGTGTTGATACATTAGGTTGATGCATAAGTTCACAGCATTTGTTTTTGGCATGGCAACACTGGTGCTGGGAGTTCATTTATTGTTAGTCATTTGTCATTTGGAGTGACAACGTTGTGCTTGTGAATATGCCTTCCATTTTGCATATTTAAAGAAAGTTAGTGCTATTTGTGAGCAAAAGAAGGAGTGTCAAGTGGAAAAAGACAAACACTTCCAACATATTCTCCGGTTTGAGCTTAACAGAGGAGTAAAGGCAGCAGAGGCAACTCGAAACATTTGTGCCATGCATGGGGAGAATGTCATAGACAAAAGCATGGCAAGAAAATGGCTTTGTCATTTTAGAGAGGGCCACTTTGCCCTGAGAGATTCTCTACTTTCAGGAAGACCATCGGGCTTTGATGAAGACTGTTTAAAACAGTGAAAAAACACTACTAACTTGTGCGTCATCCCAAATCAATATTACAGTCAAGCTAAATAGATAAACCTATCACTTTATGTAGTTACCATTACTGTTTTTTTTGTTGTTGTTGTTTTTTGAGTTGGAGTCTCACTCTGTCGCCCAGACTGGAGTGCAGTGGCCGCTCCCGGTCACCGCAGCCTCGACCTGCTGGGCTCCGGCGATCCTTCCTCCTCAGCCTTTCAAGTAGCCGGAATTACAGGCATGCGCTACCACACCCGGCTAATTTTTTTATTTATTGTAGAGATGAGGTCTCGCTGCCCAGGCAGGTCTCGAACCCGCGGGCTCAGGCAATCCACTCACCTCAGCCTCCCAAAGGCGCAGGATTACAGGCTGAGCCACCGAGCCCAGCAGTTACCATTATTTTTACCAATGATTCTCAAGAACTTATTCATCCTACATAACTGAACCTACTTACCCTTTGACCCACATATCCCCATTTTTCCCATCCCCATCCCTAGCAACTATTTCACTCTTTGTTTCTATTAATTAGACTTTTTTAGATTCCACATAAGTGAGATAATGCAGTATTTGTATTTCTGTATCTGGTTTACTTCAATTAGTATAATGTCTTCCAGGTTCCTTCATTTATTGCTGCAAATGACATGATTTTCCTCTTTTTTAAAGTTGAATAATATTCTATTGTGCATGTGTGTATATGTATATATATTTATATATATATGCATATATATATAATAACCTAAATGTCTATCAACCAGTGAACAAATAGTGAAATTGTGGTGTGTCAGTTTCTTTATCACATTCATTGGTTGATAGACATTTATATTATCTCTGTATCTTGGCTATTATGAATAATGTTGCAATAAACATAGGTATGCCAATATTTCTTCAAGATACTGATTTCATTTCCTTTTGAAATATACCCAGAAGTGAGATTGCTGGATAATATAGTAGTTCTATTTTTAACTAATATATTCTGTTTTTCAGCTTCTAACATGGGTCCCAATAATCCCTGCTTTCTGGTATTCATGCACTTGTGTAATCCCATCTCCTTGAGTATATACTGGCCTTAGGGACTTACTTCTAATAAAGAGAATATAGCCAAAGTGATGGGATGTCACTTCCATGATTGGGTTACAAAAAAACTGTCTTCTACTTGCTAGCATTTTCTCTTTTGCTGCTCCTCTTCTCATTTGCTTGCTCTAACAAAGCAAGCTGGCATGTTTTGAGATGCTCTGTGAATGTCAAAGAAACAAAAGGCCTCTGACCAACAGGTCATGACAAATTGATGCCTCAAGGACAATAACCTACAAGGGACTGAATCCTGACAACAACATGATGAGCCAGGAAGCAGACTTACTCCAGACAAAACTCAATTGAGAAGAATGCAGACTGTGAGAGACTCAGAGCCAGAGAAACCAACTAAGTCAAATCTGGTATCCCGGTCTACAGAAACTATTGAACAAATGTTATTTTAAGCAAGTAAGTTTGAGAAAATATGTAACATAAAATACTGATGTACAAACCCAGATTCCAGGACAATCCCTGTCAACTCATGCTTCAAGGCAGGCCCCAGAGATGCAGATCACAGGCCCACCCCCATTAATTCACATTCCAGGTGTACCTTATTACCAGACTGACCCCTGCAGACATAAGCTCCAGGTCTGCCCCCAATGCAGGTACCAGGCCCATTCAAGCAATAGGCTGGCCCCCAAAATATCAGACTCAAGGTCCATCTCAGCCCCAGTTCAGCCACTATGGACATAAGCCCTAAGCCCATCCCTAAGAACCCAGGCACTAAAGCCTTCCCTGCAGATCCATGTGCCAAGCAGCCCCTGATCCAGAATACAAGTTTCT